ATTAAAAGTATTTTCATAATCCTTTTTGAAAATAATCTTGAGTCTATTGAGTTAGTAGAAAAATTGATTTGATGTTGGTTAGGTGTTTTCAAATATATTATATGATGTAAGAAAAATATTTTTAATGCATGATAAAAAATCTTAATGCAATTTTTAAAAGTAATTAAAGAATGAGTTAGTAAAAAAATTTGAATTTTAAAATAATAATAATAAAATAATTTCAGAATTTATACAAATATATTAAATATAAAAATGTTAATAATAATATAAAATAGAATATAAAATAGAATATAAAGAATAAAAATAAAATTTTAATTAAAAATGCCAGGGGGTATATTTTATGTTTGGCTAGTAAATTCAGGGGGTGCAGAAAGTAGGGCCCTGAACCCAGATATTGGATCCAGGCCCAAACGCAGGAGGGAAGTATATAATTGAAAAAATAAGTAAAAGTGGGGGGCACGTGAAGCAAGGGCCCAAGTCCAGATGTTGGACTTGGCTCAATAGCGATAGAGGTGCAATTTTATAACGTAATAGTAAAAACAAAAACAGGGGTGGTGCAGATAGAGATGGGTCTGGCCCAAGATAATAGTGTTGGGGAGTCCGTTTGGACTTCATACGGGCAGGTGCATGGCGTTACAATGGGCAAGTGAATTAGGGGGCGTCTGATAATGATCAAGCGATGGTGATGGACGGCGTATGGTAGGGACGTTGGGACTGCGAGCATCAGATCATGGGGGGATTATATAAACATGTTTCTGGGATGGAGGCCCATTTTTCCTTCTTTCCCTCTCTCTTCATACAAAACACAAACAACTCGTTAGATGCTAGAGAGAGAAGCTCCAACCTCTCTCTAGATTTCTGTCTCCGGAAATCGCTTCCGTCGGCGACCGTGCCAAGGCACCACCACCTTCAAACCCCACAACCGTTTGGGTTCATATGAACCCTAATAACCCTAAGGGTTCGTGAAGAACCCTAAACTTGTCTTACCCAGAAACCTTCAACGATGATGAACCCTAACCCAGATTAGCATAAACCCTAAGAACCCTAACCCTAAGTCTTTAGAACACTAACCCTAAGTATGAACCCTAACCCCAAATTTCCTAGAAATCCAAGATCAACCCACCAATCGACCCCAAATCCATTGACAATACCAATTTTTCAATTTAAATCTAAGTTTGAGGCTTACCTTCCTTGCAATGAACTTCTTGCAATTTGACTTTCCTCTTCGTCTCTTTCTGATTCCTTCTTTCGTTCTTTGTTTGCAGGTAATGGTGTTGCAATGATTGCTTTGTGGACAGATCTTAGGGTTTCAGAAATTGAAACCGTAGATCTCAAGCAAGAAGAAACTTCCAAGGCTTCAACCGCTTCTCCTTCTTTCCCCGGTTTAGAGTCTTCTTCTCCAAATTTTTTGTTGTCCTTCTTCTTAGAAATTTCTAGGTTATTTATAGGTTAGATTTTTAGACAGTTTAGAAAATTATTCTATAATTGTCGTTATGAATTGTTGATTAGGAGTAGATTGATGAATTAGAAATAAGTATATTTGAATTAGAATCTATAATTAATATAATTTGATTTTGTATTAAGAATTTGTTATGTAATTGATTTGATTGATATGGTCAACACATACAAAAAATAAAATAAAATTTTATTTTTTATAACAAAAATTAATTAATAAATTGGATAATTATAATATCAAGAATAATAATATAACTTGTTTAAACATTCAGATGAAAGGGCCTAACCGAAACTAATGTGCTCTCTAAAAACGCATTAATATGGGCTTGTGGTCTAGCTTCCACAACTTTAACAACAAACACACCCCCTTCCTTAAATGGGCCTCAAAACAAACTCACTGGACCGGTCCAATTTTGTTATTCACACCCCTCTACTATTTAATTGAAAAATAGCATTCTTAATGGGCTTAAAACTAACTACACCCCCTCTTTAATGTTTAAGACACACCGAATAGATTGTCAACTTCACATGGGCCTTTCTGATTTAGAAAGCCCATAAACCTCTTTATAAAAACCCACCTACCCTTTAAGGTTTTAAACCTCCAATGAATTTATCCACCATAATCTAAATTTTATAGAAAAAAATAATAACATTAGATAATAATAAAGAACAATTTAGTTAAAAAAATTAATAGAGAAAATTTGAGATATAACACACCTCTTCACTATAAATTTTCCAATTAGACTACCATTCATCAACACAAACATTGTGCTTGTAAAAACACCAGCCTCTAACCTCTATATCCACCTCTGACCTAAACCTACTCTTCTGAACATTCTTCTAAGGAAATTCCAATCTACACAAACAAACTTAAACTAATTTATAACATATTCTAATCAACTTATAACTATATATATAACACATTCCAACAATATTAGTAAATTTCTAAGTATTTTGGAGATGGTTAGTGATTTGTTTTTCTGTTAATTAAGTTAGTTAATTTTCTGTTAAGTTTGTGATAGATTAATTGTTTTCAATTATTTAAACAAAGTTTAAGTTGAGTATATAAAAAAGTATAGTCTTAGAAAAAAGCTACAATTTGCAGCTATAGAAGAGAATCTGATAAACACAAGTAAAGTTAATCCAACAAGAAAAGCTAAAGACACTAATTGAATTCACAGTGCATCAAAATTGAGATGTTATTTTTTATAGTTGCTAAGAGCATAATTGGAATAACTAAAAAGGACAAAGAGAGAGATCCATTATTATGTGAGAAACATTGAATATTATGATATGAGGTTAAAAGGAAGCATGTGGGTTCTGTTTGTTTTCTGGCTTTTGAGGTGTGAAATTTGTTTGTAGGCTGTTGGAATTTTGCCTATGGTGTACTTGTCATTGTCATGTATAAACACATGCACTTCATTTTGGAATATATTAACCACAATAATACCACCTTACGTCACCTCATTCTCTTGGTTTTTTCTCAATCAACTTCAATATCTCATTCTAATATAAAGGATAAATACATTATTGAAGTAGTATGATTTTAATTAGTTATACATTTTATCTAATTTCTACTTATTGTGTTTTGTTGTGCATGAGTCTGTCACATTCTATGAGGGATAAAGAAATACTTGTTTGAAAGTGGTGTGAAATGATTCTGGCTAATGTGTTAAGAGTAATTTTGAGGATCATTATTTTGTACTAAGAATTTTAACTTTGAGGATCATTATATTATATATTGGTCTATTTTAATTTTTCAATTAAATGTGAGACTTTTGATATATTAATAAGTATTTCTTTAATGCAAAATTCATATATGTGTAATATCAGGGAGACCATTTTGAATTCTCTCTATAATTTTTTTACTTTCTTTCCTTTATTTTCTATTTTTCTCTTAATCTCATTCTCTCTTTTGATTACTGTTTTTTTTATTAATATGTGAGATTAAGACAAAGATAGAGAATTAAAAAATAAAAATAAAACGCACACGCGCACACACACTTTTGGACTGTTAGGAGAGAATATGAGTGTTAGATATTTTAAAAGGGGATTAAATAGATTGTTATCTTAAAGTGGTAAAAATCTAAAACATACGATATAGAAAATTTAAAAGAGATGGTAAAAGAAAAGATTGCACCCGAATTTATAATGATTCAACATGTTATTCATTATTTTGTGTCTAATCTAGTCTCCAATGACGGACCATTGAAAATTCGTAGTCTTCCACAATTTTGACAATTTTACAACGTATATTTTATACAATCAAGAAATCCTATTGGTACCTTGGCGGAGTTCTTTGCTTATCTGAAGGAACATAAACTCTTAACTTTGTTCCATAACAACTTTTACTCAGTTCTATTGAAGTCTTCAGTGGAGAAGACATTCTTTTCTTTTTTTTTTCTTATTAGATTGTCAATTCCCAAGAACACCGCACAAATACTAATTTTAACCTGCAACTCAAGAATTTTACACACATCAACGATAAAAGACCATCCTCTATGATAAATCTCAGTTTCTCTAAGAATTGAGAAGCAATAAACTCATGATATCTATCTAGAGAAGATGAATGCAGTTTCAGATGAATATTTTGATTTAGATTACTTTGAAAGTTAAAAACTCAATTTTAAAAGACTCTCAAAGTTATGATGTTAATTATCACACACAAAATGATTTGTATACTTGTTTGTGATGAATCACTAAAATTGAGTAAATATATATATATTTGATTTGATTCGAGTCAAGTGCAGTGAATATGATTCGAGTCAAATGAATAAATTATTTAAATCAATAACTTAAAACTCATAATTGGACAATTTAATTCGAATCAGTGATTCGAGTCAAGGAATTATTTGATTCGAATCATGCTGACGGAACTGAAATTTAAATTTTAAAATTATTCAATTTAACCTTTAGCTTGTTACGAATCAAGCTTACTTCTGATTCGAGTTAGAGAAGCTTGTGATTCGAATCACACTAACAGTGACATATTCTATTTTTCCCATTCATTTATTAATTCAAATCATGTATTTTGATTTGAATCACACTTTTTAAAGTTGTTATTTTGAGAAAAATAAAGTGTTTGATTGAATATAAAGCTAGTAAGATATGAATCATTCATTCATACATTTTTTGATCCAAATAATCAATTAATTTGACTTCAACCACTTTCCAACGACTTTTATCTTAAGATTTGATTTAATACATATAAAATACGATTTGATGCATAACACGTCTTAAACATATTGCACTCAATTCAAAAATATACGCAGAATCTACTTTAGAGGAGACTCAATAACTAAAATCAATAAACTATAAAATAGAAAACGAAACAAGTAGTAAAACCGAAATTTTAAAGAGTCAAGGCATATATATATATATATATATATATATATATATATATATATATATATATATATATATATATATATATAAAACATATGGCACATATTACTTAATTACTTCATTCACCAACCTGACTGTTACATAAGCCTTTAATTTGTTAGTAATCAAACAGTCTTCAACTTTTCATAACCTAAACCTTCATGGAAAACTCAAAACTTCCACATCAAACCCACCCGAACAACAACAGAATTTCCTTGAGCCCTCATGATGAAATAGATAAATCCAATACTAAGAAAATTCCAAAAACATCAAACAAAGGTCATCAGAAAAAGTACCTAGGAGTGAGACAAAGACCATCAGGAAGATGGATAGCTGAGATAAAAGACTCATCACAGAAACTAAGACTATGGTTAGGAACTTTTGACACACCAGAAGATGCTGCTATGTCTTATGACTCAGCTGCAAGGCTTCTTAGAGGAAGAAATGCCAAAACTAATTTCCCAAATACTCGTGAACAAGATTTCGCCATTTTAGGAAAGAATCCTCGAGCTCTTCGCCTTCTTAAGCATGCAATGATGAAAAACCATGCAGTTTCATCATCTACTTCTCTTTATTCCACTGTCATGATGCCATGGAAAAATGACGCCATTGTCGAGGAAACTATAGTTTGTTCTATTGCTGATGATGAAGGTTCTAGTGGATTTTCATTTGGAAGTTCTAAGGTTTATTCTTCTGTTGTTGTTGCTCCTTCTTTCAGTGCTTCTTAATTAGTATTAGTGATCCCTTGAACAAGTTTGTTTTGAGTATTCATTCTTCTTTATTTTGTTAATTCTAGTTATTAATTTATTTATGTTCATTGTATATCTCTGATATCTGTTATTTGGTGTTGGATAGAACTTAGAAGATGTAACTGTTGAGAAAGATTGTGTTCATCTTATAATCTTGTAACTTAATAAAAAAATTATGATTATGTACTTGATAAAAAATTTGAAGGAAAAGTTTTAGGAAAAAACTAGAGATTAGGAAAGGATGGAGTATAAAACAAAATAACACAGGAACTCCTCTATCATGTGAGAATGTTGTCCTAATCTTAATGCTATTATTATAACTTTCACATTCATGTAAAATTTTAAATAAATCACACATTTATAAATTGTAATCTCGTAATTAACATTTACTTATGAAGTTAAAAGAATGCTTGTCAACTAACAAGAATTGGGTATAGCTCGGAAGAGATTAAACCACTCACATTATATCAAAAATCAAAATTTAAATTTCTATCAAAAGAAGTATAAACATTTAATTTAATGTCGGACACACTTTTAATAATAGTTTTTAGAAAAAGTGTGAGTTGTGTAAGTCCCACATTATTTGAAAAAGTTGAGGTTTAACACTTTATATGTGAGAGGATCCATACACCCATTAGTGTAATGTTTTTGAGTGAATATGTGATGTCTCTCTCACTTGTTTGAGTGAATCTTTCACATTTAAGTAAGTGTTTGAACCTTTGTGAATTTTTTCCCTTTATGATGACCCATCAAATAAAACTATAAAAAATATTTCATCTTTTTTTTTTTGTTATTGTTTGGTGGGTCGTATAGTTGAGTAGAATTCAATTTTATTTAAGGGGGGAGGGAGGTGTTAGCTAACTTGGATATTCTACCAAGTATTTAGAGAATTACTCGGAAGTAGTATGAAATTAAGTTTAAGAAGTCTTTAAATCACTCTTAGGGGGAGTGGGAAACAAATTTGGGTTCTTGTTTTCATTCTTAGGAGTGGAAAACAGAAATGTGGTAGATGTTGGTGGATGCCTAAATAAGGGTGATATAGAGAGAAAAACCTCAAAAGTAACGCCAAAGGAAGTTGGGTTTACAATTGACATAGATATGTTAGGATGTCTAAGAAAACATCTTTTACAATGAGAGCAAGATCGTAGATATGAGTATAAGACAATGGAGAAAAGGGGCACAAGGTGGGTAAAATGGCTGAATTAGAAGAATAGTGAAGTCAAATCACACCCTCCACTAGAAGCCATATTGGAACATGTTCTTAAATTTGATTATGGAATTTCATATGGGGATTATTGTGATATTATAAGAAAGAACATGGGAATCCAACACTTACCTATTAAAGATGACCTCAACCTGTATTTTTTCAATCATTAGAGCATGTCTTGCACGAGCTTTTTAAGAATACATGTGTGTGTATCCATGGATAAACGAATTCCCAGACCTCAAAGCCTTTTGGGTTGCCTAACCTTGTGCCAACCTATGAGATTTATGCATGTGTTGTTATTACCCTTCTAGATAAAATTTTAAGACATTATGTCTATTTTGTCACAAATGTTTTAAGGGAGCAATATGTTTTTCATGTAGTAGGAAATAACGGAGGTTAGAACAAAGGAAACCCTATACAATCTTCCATGCTTGTTCAAAATACTATTTTTCTAGGAGATCAGGTAGTTCTTCATCTTTTCAATGAAGAAATTAAAATAAATTATCTTAGTTATACCTTGTAGGGTAGGAAGATACATTTATTTGTCTAGTGCAGTGGGGTTGTGGATGCTTGTGATATAATTAAGCTAATGGAGTTTGGCTTGGGGGCATTAAAGAATAAGAGAGTGAATATATCAAATAGGTTAGCAATAGACCGGAAAAGCATTTGAGAGATGTTGGGTTTGTTTAAAGAAATGCATATAGGTTTCAAAGAACTAATATGAATTACTTCAAAAATGGAAATAGATGAATTTTCCATGTAGGTGATGTGGATTCATATCCTCTTCCGTCTTTTTGATTATGCCATGCCTTCTGCTCCATTTATGGCCATTGGATTTAATTTAAGGGTTTCATGAATCATGTTTTATATCATATTTTTTATTTCTTTTTTTTCTTCCTACCATTAGATTATGGTAGAATGGGGCAGCATGAGACAAGAAATTGGAGATTATCCAATTTCAGGTGATGAAGGGGTAATAACAGAGAGGGTGCACTTGGTAGGGTAATGTGGAAAGGCTTTAAATATAGAATTTTATTTCCACTCCCAAGATTTATATGGGTGATTAAGTGGCACAATGCATTATAATATGGATAATGCTAGGTGAAAATCCTAAATTAGAAAGGAAATTTCAAAGAAACTACTAGTTAACATTGTCAAAGGTTTTCTCTAGATCATGCTTGAAAGTGGCATCACATTTTTTTATCTTTGACTTACACATGAAATGGATGATTCCCTACAAATAATAGTTTTATCGAAAACGCTCTTACATGGACTAGAACTACTTTGATGGGGACAATGAGGGATGAAGTGGATGTCGAAAGTGATTCACAAGCAAATTTGTGATGATATTATATACAATATTGCAAAGAGTAATGGACCTCAATTTCTTGAAAGTTGACGAATACTTCACTTTGGAATAAGAGCAATTAACGTCACTGAGATAGATGTGTCAATTATCCTGTGGAGAAAATTTGATGACTTCTCGACAAGTGTACCGATAATGTTGTAGTAATAAAATAAGATTGTATCCATAGAGACTGCTATTTAACAAAATGACAATTGTGCAAATTTATAAAGTAACAAATGGGGGGGGGGGTCGTGTTTGATTGGGAAAATAAAATTTATTCTGAAATAATGAGAAAGAAGTCATATTTGGCATATAATCCTTTATTTCTTCCATGTTGATTCTTAATGTATTACATGAATGATAAAGTAATTATATTTCCACGAAGAATTAACAAAGGCACTATACCCAATCCATTGATGTATAGCTCATTAATCTCTACTAGAGGTCTCATATCTCTATTCAACCAGCGTAAGTGAAATTAGGAAATGCAACAGTACGTTAATTCAAATGACACTACTAGAGGTCTTATATCCATATTCAACCAGCATAAGTTCAACAATGTCCCTAGTTCCAACACATAGACTAATGGTCAGTATTCCCTATGCCCCCATAATCAAATTAACAGAGTATCTCAAATAAAAAACATTAAGCACAAGAGGCAATTAAATAGAAATATAACTTCAATTATTCCTACACTGACAAATCAAACATATGTGCCAACAAGTTCAAAATAAGTTCATCGTACAAAATATAGCCTATAAGAGTTTAGCTTCTCATACAGATACAAATAAATACCAAGAAATAAGATGAATATTGCATGTGAAAATCCTTGAAGATCTGGCCTCCAATGGCTTCCAATGCTCTCAAAATCGCCCTTTAGGTACTCTTTTTTGTTACTTTCAGTCAAAATTCACAAAACCCCTAACAAGATGCGAAAATACCCTTATAAAGGTGTCAAATCAGTCCAAAGTTCATTAGAAGAAGCATATAAAAAGAACTCATTGCGCGTGTTATGGAAGCTATTATAAGAACAAGAAGTGTTTCCTACATATGGCCTTGAGATTTTGATGATAATTTCACATGTTATCTTAGAGAACAATTGTATACACTAACAATTTCGTCTAGTGTGTAGTTGCTTCTATAATGTTCTGACTCTGGTACAAGGCATGTGACATCATCAGGTTCTGAATATACACTCTAGAAGAAAACATGTGGTTACATGTTTCTGTAAAGTCAAGGTTCTGAACTAATCTTCTGCAATGTGTCTTAGGAATGTTAGTACAAGAAGTTTTGATCGTGGCTTTGTGGTTTAGCTTTGTAGGCCTTCTAAAGCTTTACTTCTGTGTTACAGGTTCTGAAGATTATGAAGATGAGATTTTATTGAACAAGTTCTGATGATCTGAAGAAAAAGAAGTTCTTACAACCAAGTGCTTAAGACTCTGAAGAACAAGGTTCTATGTGATAAGTTTTGAAGATTCCAAGACTTAGGTTCTAAGGCTCATAAGAAAGAATCTTCTACAACAAGCTTCAACATCCAACATTAAAATATATGAATTTCTTAAATAACTATATCTACAAATGTGTATGTGTCCTATCATATTTTTGAATTTGTCATCATTCACATAAGTAACTTTCATTCATTGCTATGCTATATCAATTCTCTGTATCAAATTTTTTCTTGTTCTCTCTCTCTCTCTCTCTCTCTCTCTCTCTCTCTCTCTCTCTATATATATATATATATATATATATATATATATATATATATATATATATATATCTTCCATTCCTCAACTAAAGTATCCCTATTTTCCTTTTAATAAGTGCATATTTAAATAAGTGTCTGAGGTTGTTGACAATGACTTGTCTGTTTCTTCTCGTGTCTTAATTTGAATGATGTGTCTATATGTTCTCTGATTGCTTTATCCTCATGCATTCACTTGTCTATTGATATACGCTTTGGAAGTTGAATATTTTCTGGTTGCATCTCCCTAAGTCTGCTCAACCCTAGTAAGGTAGTATATTCTCCAGATTGATCAAAGTTTTTCCTTATATATATCCTCCCATCCATCTCACCTCTACCATACAAACTAAGCTCCTTTACCTCTAAACTTTTCCTAAAATGTCTCTTTCCTTTACCCCAAGAGCCTTTCATGGTAATTATGACCTCTTAGAAGTCATTAATGAAAAGCGTCCCACTATTCCAAGCGGTGCTGGAAAATCGTTTCATCTTGACATTCACTTTCAGGATTGGAATGGATACATCTCTAAGCTGGGAGGACCTATCTAATCAAACATTGTAAAATCCTTATGGATTAACACTTCTGTCAGTCCAGATGGTCTCACTATCTTTTCTGATATTTATGGCTTCCCAGTATCCTTTATTGTGGCCAACATAGCCGAAGCAATTAAATGTCCTAAAAAAGG